AGCTGGACCCCGAGCTGAGAGCTAGGGGCTTCTTAAAGGCAAAAACTGCAAATGGATAGGGTCTGGGGTGAGCGAGGGTAACAGTTCTGATTGGCTCGTTTCAGGTGCCTGACTGCAATCTGCAAAGAAAACATCTTAGGCTGGGGTCCTTTAGTTGAAGGCCACAAATTACAGAGTTTCTATGGTTATTTAAGGTCATACAAAGTACAGAGTTAAGTCAGTAACTATACATTTTAAGGGAGATACATTTGACTGATATAAGACAGGGCATGGGGTTGTGTGTGGGGGGGGGCGGGTTTACAGGGTCTGTCAATTATCCCCTAGGCTGGGGAATCTTTACAACCAGCAGGGCACCTTTACAACCAGCAATTAGCAAAGAAATGCTAACAGGAGTGGTGGGCAGTCACCTCTGCTTCTCTGAGAGCAGGGGATCAGGCCTCCTCAGTCATAGTACTCCTGATTTAAGGAGTTAAATTTTCCTTTATAAACTTATTAATTTGAATTTTGGTCCTTTATTACCACTGAGCTATATCCCGCAATCTAAAAAGTAACCAAGTTGGATAAAATCACCAAACTCTCCAGCTCTATATCAACAACATACAGATCTTAAGACAAAATGCTCATTTGTTTTCACCAACAAAGAAGAAAAAGAAAACAAAATAAAATCGAGGTGGTGGTGGTGCACACCTTTAATCCCAGCACTCTGGAAGAAGAGGCAGGGGGATCTCTCTGAGTTTGAGGCCAGTCTGGTCTACAGGATGAGTTCCAGGTGAGCCAAGGCTATACAGAGAAATCCTGTCTCGAAAAATTAATCAATCAATAGATAAATAGAACCATAATAAAGAGAATCTAAGAAAGTAGAGAAGCAATGTCAAAGCACTAACAACATGTATAATATTCCTGGCTTCAGACTTGGTTATCTTCTCTTACAAAGCAAAAACAAGACAGCACCAGAATTCTTTCTGTGTTCTGGGCAGCACACAGAAAGTACCATTTCCTCGTGTCAGACAATCTAGGTCTACATTCCAACAAAAATAACCCCATCCAAATCTGGAACCTCCCTCTGGAGCAACTGCCATCTCCTGCAGGAATTCAGTCCTCACTCAACAAACCTTAAATGCCCTTCAAACTACACCCTCAGTCACACCTTGCAAAGCTCATTTCCTATGTGATTAGCAGCCCCAAATGAAAACATACTAATACTAAAATGGCTCATTAAGCATTAGTAGCTTAGAGCACTAAGCATTTCCTATGTGCTAACCCTGCTTTAAGAAGATCCTTTAACACTAACCTCCACAAAAACTCTTGGAGGTGTTACTCTTCACACCTATCACAGAAGCAAACACCGGGTGTTAAACAGGGTGTTAAACAGCCACTTTAGGCACACATAGATAGGAAGGGGCAGAGCCAGGATCTGGGCTTAGCATCTTGGCCATCATATGACTTGACACCTAGGAGACAAAACAACAAATGCAATGGTTGTATTCAGAAATGCACATGTACAATGTCCAAGTGGCCCAGGTTCACAATGACTCTCTGCTCCTTTAGACTCAATGTTCATTCATGTTGATGTCTTCAGTCTTTACATCTGAAATTCAAGAGGTTACAAATTGGGGCATCTTAGCCAACTGGAGTAAGTAACAAGGCCTTGGTGGGATACAGTCCTCATGGCAAAGGACCATGCTCATGTCTTCAACAACTGAAGGCCACATTTCTGACTTTACAGACAAGAGAGGTGAGATCAGCACTAAAAAAAATTTAAGCACTCGGGGGTTTAAAAAAAAAAAAGTAAGTTTGGAGAAATAAACTTAGCTTTGCTATTCATTCACTCAACAAACCCTTTTGGAACATTAACTGTGTATCTGATTCTGTGGACTCTGGACATTTGGCAGAGAGCCAAATCAAATCCTTACCCTCCGGCAGCATTCACTCTCCAGGTAAGCTAGAAGAGACTGGACAAGCAAATAAAAACAGGTAAGAAATAGGACACAGTACAGTGACAAAATAACCAAGCAGGGCATTGGAGGGCATAATACACCAAGTGCTCAGAGTTAGGGAGGTGGATTTCCCTGTCCTAACAACATGTGTCATTATGTCTTCACTTCAGACTCCCAGGAACTTCAATGTTTAAGAATATTTCATGATTCTGCAATGCAGGCTTCTCAACCTTCTGCTCCAGGGCCTGCTCTAGTTCAGACCTGCCCATCTCTCCTCTTTCACCTCCACTCCCAAACACGCCCTCTCCATTCCATTTAAGCTAATCTTCTCATTGGCCCACACATACCATGTTGTTCCCCCTACACCTATTAATTCTGCTTTTTCGTCAAGGCCAGGAAGTTCCATCTTCCTCATTCTTCCATGCTGAGTTCCCAAGCTCTCCTCCCAGCCACACTACTCGTTCTCTGCCAATTAATTGCCTAAAACTGCTGTTCTATCCCTCATTGATGTCTTACATGGGCTATACTCCAGGACTTTGACTCTCACATAAGGTCCCACAGACACCTCCCAGCATGTGTGGGCAGGAGAGAAAGGGAGTTGGTTGGTATTGAAAGTTCTCACAGCCAGAGGCAGAGAGAAATAACCCAGGCTCGTCCGACAACTCAAAGGGGCCAAGAAGTATCCAAGAGGCACAAGTTGCAAACAGGAGGACGCGGAGTCTCTAATCAAGTGAAAGGAGTCTAACAACTGAGAATACAGATGATGGGAGTTTATAGGGTTAATGAGGATTCAGATGAAACATCTAATTGAGTAGAGAATAAAGCATAAACGCAGCCTTATGGACCAGTCCTGCATGGGGAAGAAGTAGTCAAGACTTATTAACTTAGGAAACAGAGGATCAGTTAGTTAACAAATGGCAGCAGAAGGACTCTGGGGAAGAATTCAGATATCAAAAATGGGAACAAAAATTAAGAGCCTGACCTAATTCTAAACTGGAGAAAGATCATTAGTGCGTCTGTTGGGTGAGGGGAGGGTAAAGTCTACAGAAAAGAAAATGAAAGCCAAAACTGTTGATGCACAAATTAGTCCTTTAAAGGAAAGGGTCATACTTTATGCCTCATTTCTACCATCCATAGCCCTTAGCAAAATAAATATACATATGATTACATTAAAAAGAAAGACCAGAGATATTTGGGCATTGCCCAATAGGGAGAAGTATGCCCAGAAACATTAAGTCATCACTTAGCAAGCTATGGATGGCACAGGTTTAGTAGAAGGTTCTGTCTTCTTTGTCAGAAGGTTTGTCTTCTGACAAAAAGAGAGGCTATATGATCTGGTGAATGAACACAGGACTAGAAATAGGAAAATGGACTTAGACCACCCTTGTCAATAACCTCCTATAAGACCCTTAACGATCCTTCATTTCCTTGGGCTCATTATTTTATCTATAATGAGGCTAATGTGAGTGCAATAATTTTTTTTTGTTTGTTTGTTTCTGGAACATTCTTTTCTCAGATCTCTATTTGGCTTTCTCATTCCGTGTTTTCAGCCTTTGTCTACATCTTGCCTTCCTAAGGGGTCTACATTAACCACTCTGAAAGGTTCAGGCCCTGCCCCCGACAATGGTCAGGGCATGCGTAAGAAAACGTGCTACATCATCGCCACGTCACCCATCACCCATGAGGACTCTGCTCTGGGCATGCGTGGAACCTCAGTGGGCATGCACAGTCTTCCCTTTAAAAGCTCCAACTTTCCTGCTTCACTCTCTACTCTCTGTTTGTCTCTTCTTGGCTCTCTCTCAGCCTGTCTCTATGGCAACCGGTCATGGCGGTCAGCCATTACCTCTGTTCCTCCTCTTAGTCTCCCTACTCTGCCGGGCCTTATAATAAACCAATCAACATGTCTCATGTCTTAGCATTTCTCTTTTCTTCCTTTTTGAACAAAAGAATAGCACACTCTACCTAACACCATAACCCACCCATCCCACTCATACTCTAGTTTAAGATCTTTGTTCTATATACTTCAAATGACTGAATAGCATACAGAACAGAGAAAGCATCCAACAAATATTTGTTAAGTAAATCTAATATGGGGGAGAGGTCTTGTAAAAGAAAGACTTAAGCCAGGCATTAGTGGCTCACACCTTTAATCCCAGCACTTGAGAGGCAGAGGCAGGTGGATCTCTGTGAGTTTGAGGCCAGCCTGGTCTACAGCGTGAGTTACAGGACAACCTCCAACGCCATACAGAGAAACCCTGTCTCAAAAACCAAAAAAACAAAAAAAGAAAAAAAGAAAAGAAAAGAAAGAAAGAAAGAAAGAAAGACTAGAGTAATGAACCATTTAAATTCTCCCTGATATCAGTTTCTTCTCATCCATGGTCCAATATTCCCCTAAACCCAGTGCAGTAGTATGGGGTCTGTTCAGTAAGCCCTCATTAAGTTACTAAGTAGGCAGCAAAGGACAAACATCCATGGTATTCTGGGGCCACCTGCTGTCAACCCAATTTAGTATCTACTTAAGCAATTGAAGTGACAAGAATTGCCAGAGGTGACTTAACCCTTCCCAACTGAGACAAGCAAGCTTTTCCAGTAAAAACAGGAAGCATGCTAATATTGGATATCAGATGTCTCCAAAGGTCCCAGAAAAAAAGACAGTTAAATCCTCCTGTGAAGGATTGCACACCCAGTAAAAACAGTAAGTGCCTTGCATTGGGGGTCTTATGTATGAGATACTAACTTCAACACTTTTCTATATTCTTTCCTCCAATCCTTCGTCCAGTCCATTGGTGTATTGTCAACAGTTAATGGATAAGCATTCCTTTGAAGATAACAATAAGCAGACAACTTAAACTAAAGAAACTAAGAAAATTAGCAACATGGGATGCACGGAGGCACACACGTGCAGACCAGTATTATGAGCCCCAATCATGTTCCACACTGTTTGTGACCTTCCTGGTCTGGCTTTACACCAAACACGGCCAGGTTGCTGGGCTTGGGATTCCTAAATCCATTCTCATTTGTTTTAGTTTGCGTTGTGAGACAGGGCTTTTAGCTCCGACTGACCTGGATCTCGCTGTGTACACCAGGCTGGTCTGGATCACAGTAATGTGTTCGCCTCTTCCTCCCCAGCGCTGGGATTGTGACCTGCTTTCCGGACCTTCATCGGGAAATTTTGTACTTGGTTCTCTGTGGCTCAAGCTGAAAGCTGCTGCAAGCACAAGCACGGTTCCGGAAATGCAGACCCTGGGACGGAAGTGACTTTTCTGTTTCCCTCAGTTACAGGGAGTTTCTCGGAGGACTGAGGGCTCAGAAGCTGTTCACTCTTGCGTTTTCCACTTATGCTGCACCAGCAGGCCGACAGTCACCACTCTGAAGAGGCCTGTGCACCCAGGACCCTCGGTATTGCCGGGGGTGTACAGGTAAACCTCCTGGTCCCTGACAGAAAGGGCCCCTTGACTGGATAAGGCTGAAGGCGCTTTGTCCAGCTCTGGTTGGAGCTCCAAGACTTCCTCAACTTCCATCCTAGCTCCCCTAGGCAGAAGACAGTTGCGCCCCCTGGTGGCCAGATGGAACCGTGGGCACCTTGGTTTTCTAGTCAGCCGTAGGACATGGTTACTCAAATGGAATAAGAAAATGGTTATAGTTGCTGCATATCTGTTTACGTATTATTCTTGTGCGTTTTTCTTTTAAACAAAAAATGCATCCAGTACCATTAACCCGTAATCTTGGATATTACTGGATACAAAGCTGTTTTTAAGCAGTTAACAGTAGTTCAAAGAAAATGTTGACTATATAATGCACAAGATATAGCAAAAATTATGATGGCAAACGGGCCTGGTATTTCATGTCTGCAGTACCAAGACATGGGAGGTAGCACTTTAAGTCTACAAAAAGAAAAAAAGAAAAAAAAAGGTGGAAAGTGGTACTCAAAATCGAAAAAAAAATATATAACTTTCAAAAGGTCAAAAGGGAATCAGTGTGCTCTTTGATTTTATGTGTGGACTTGATAGGGGATTTTAAGTGACTTTAACATTTAAATCGTTGAAACAGCATAATGCAGACTGTCCCCACCCAGTGCAAATGAGCCTCACCCTTCATTGAAGGCCTAACCAAAACAAAGGCCCAGCATCCCTGAGCAGGAGGAAATGGGCCTGCAAACCCCCTGCTGACTTCCGCTGTCTCTGTTGCTCCTGAGTCTCCACAATGCTGCAGAGCTAGACTTGCCCAAATCACATAAGCTAATTTTTTTATAATAAATCTTGTAGATACTGTTTTCCTGAATTTCTGTTTTACTGTAGAAAGAGACTTCTTTCTTTTTACACTTTCAAGTATCCAATATATCGATCTATATATTTAGGAAAGTGTAAAATTGAGTAAAGCTCCACAGCCTATTCTAACCATATAGAAAGTTCCACGGCATAATCTAGACTTTGGTTCTGGTTCATTTTGGTGTGTGATGTTTTTATTTATATGCAACTTTTTTATAATTAACTTTATAAAATGAGAAACAATTCCTTCTTCTAACATTGAGTGGGACTATGAGGATGGGAGGGCTTGAGTCTAAAACTCAATGATCTGAAATGCTAAGGTGTTGTCCTCTTTCTTCTTCCCCGTGAACAATGACCCTAGCTAGCTTCAGTATTCCCTTCTTCCCCTCACACCAGATCCCTTGGCTGACAAGTTCTAGAGTACAACTCTTCACTCCTTTTGGACAATGTAGTGGGATGTAGCTGGAGCTGTGAGCTCAAATTGGGATAGCTGGTACACTGGTTTAGGCCTTTGAGAGCTTGCAACAAAATCTTCATCCTTTCTTGAATTCTGCTGCATCTGTATGAAAAGATGGCTCACCAGAGGTGAGCATCTCTGCCCTACCCTGGGCCTCTTTCCCTTTCTTTGCCCCTAAAGATTTAACTTGGTGTACTTTGTACCATCCATTGCCTCAGCTCTGCCCTGCCCTAACTTTGGGACTGGAGAGACCCTCCATGTCACAATAGGAGCCCAATCCATGATTCCCTGGACCTACACCCCACTCGGGAAGGCATGCCATGATTGGGTGGGTAAGACTGCCTCATTTTGTGCCTAGAATAAGAAAGCTAACATTAAGAGACCTAAAGCCACTCTTATTAACTACTGCTATTGTAAAGCATGGTATTTCGGGTATGCTGTTTTCTTCCGACTCTATTTTTCTAACCTCTTCAGAATAGGAAAATGAGGCAGTACTCTTTGCTAAAATCCTTTGCAGAATCCCACAATTCCTCCTAGCCCCTTCTAGCAGCTATATTAAATAAGAAAAAACATCTAATGGGCAAATTCACACTAACAAACTGATTTGGTCCATTACAGGATGCATGCATCTTCCAAATACTGTAAGAGTCCTGAGAAAGGGCAATGCCACATGGTAAATGCCATACAATTAAAGTCCTTCAGTGAGAAGTATTTTTTCAGGGCCTTCTAATAGCATATATATCTGTCAATCAATAGTTGTTATAAAAAAAAAAGTTGAAAGTAGGATTTAGGACATTTAACTGTCTAGGTTCAAATCTGTCTATGCCTCTTACTGGCTGTGACCTTGAGGAAGTTATTTGACCTCACTGGCCTCTGGTTTTTATCTAAAAAGAGATAGCTTGAAAATACCTGTTTGTGTCAGGCAGAGCTTTAATCCTACAACCCCTCTAGAATTTAAAAAGAAGGAAACAATTTTATTACCAAGAGCATGGGAATAGTCAAATTAAATCAAACATGGAGTTTGTGCTTGGGAAAGAAATTCTTTTATCTGATACCAACAGACTATCCCAAACCCAGGAAACTCTGAAAAATAAATACATGGTAACAAAGCTTACACAGCTTTGTGTATCCTGACATAGTCATTAATTCCCAAAAGTGGTCAGCAGGTGTCGACATTCACCAACCTTCTGGCTGATTGGTCCTGGACTCCGCTGTAGACCAGGCTTCTTATGCAACACCAGGTATCTATACAATAGTTACTGTTGACAATTAAATAACCAGAGAGATGAGCAGCTGCAGTCAGTCCAAAAAGAGATTATGCACGATTCCTTTCAGGAATGAAGCGTCTTACAATGATTGAGCAAGATGGTACAATATACTTGAGAAGGAATGATGGTTGGAGAGACAGACAGAGCTCTTTAAGATTGAGATGGGCTGGGCAGATTCCTCAGTAGTTAAGAGCATTTGTTCTTACAGAAGACTAAGGCTAGGTTCCCAGTGGCTCACAACCATACGTTCACAACCATGCGTTCAGATCCAGGGACTCCAGGCACTCATGCCTGGTCAAACATTCGTATGTGTATATTAAAATAAATAAATCTAAAGAGATGCAGGGAGAAAAGGGAAGGATTGAGGAAAGGGAGAGAAAGAAACAGAGTTTCACCATGAATTTGGGGCGGGGGAGAAGGCAGGTTATCCCAATAAGAAGTCTTTGGAAATTTTCTGAGGATTTTCTAGACCAATCCCAAGAACAAACAAGAAACCTAACACTTCTAAGTTTTGGAGAGCTGGCAGGAAGTTTTGCTTCATGTGAGTTATCCAACACAGCATGTGTGGCAAAGCACGAAAAAGCCAGCTGTCATAAATCATAGCTGTCATAGCACAGAGGCTTCTCAAGTCTGTCCCAGAGAGAGCTGGAGGGAGGTGTGGCCTGACTCAGGCTGTGGGATCTGGTCAGAATGTTCAGGCCTGTGTTCTAACAAGTCATAAACTTATTTTTGAACAATTCTTTGGTATACATATAATTTTACCACTTATGTAAGATTAAGGTAAATTTGCATTCGAAAGAGATCAATTGCCTGTTTAGTTTTGCATAAACAGCTAACCTAGTTGAATACCTGATACTTCAGGGCAGAGCATTTTGGATGCTTTCCAGAGTAGACTGATACTTTGATTTTATAAACCAGCACTGAGAAAGCCACTCCATACTGAGGTTATCTGAGGCCATTTCAGAAATGGTGGAAATCCTGACCTACCCCAAGTCCAAATTCACTGAACAGTCTTCTAGAAAACTCAAGTCAACAACTCAAACAAATGACAATGGCTTTCACAGGAAAAAAAAAACTAGTTTTCTCCAATAGACTCTTATTGGTTTATAAACCATAGTAATGGGTAGGCTCCACTCCCAGCAGTAGATAGCCAACACAAAACAAACTCAATGGTATTTTGTAGACTTTTTTTTTTGTTGTTGTTGTTTTGTTTTGTTAGGGTGTTTTTTTACCTTACTGATCTTTTGAGTATTATGGTTTCCAACTTGGGGTGGGCATCTCTTGTGCTTTTTCTTTGTTTTGTTTTTAATTCTGTTTTGTTGGTTTGTTTATTTTTCCCTTGTTTATTTTCCAACGAGAAAGAGAAAGGAGGCATGGAATCAGTAGGGTAGGAAGGTGAGGAGGAACTTGGAAGAGATGAAAGAGGGAAAACCATGAAAAAATATTTCCAATTAAAAAAATAAAATAAGCTAGTCACCAAGCTCTATTCCCTTATTTGGCCACTTCTTCCCCCTGAAGTAGACCACCAAGGTCAGGCTATCAAAGTATTCAAGTCCAGTAATTAAAGTCCCCTTTTGCTACCCTAATTAACATGTCCAATTAAAACAAACCAACTCATGCTAACACAGGCTGTCTCCTCTCTATCCAGAGGCAGTCAGTCCTTTGTCCCTCTGGGGAGAGGAAGGGAACAAGGAAGAAAGGAGAAAAGGGGAAAGGGATATTTGTCCTGGAGTGACAAAGGACTGCCTCTGGATTGAGAGAAAACAGATATGGCATAAAGGGCAGTTTATAAAGGTACAAGAGGAAACCTCATGTGAGGATGAGGTATTTAATTTTAATTGGGCATGTTAATTAAGTGAGCCAAAGGGGGGCTTTGATTGATGGACTCCAATACTTTGACAGTGAGACCTTGGTAGTGTGTCTCAGGAGGAGGAAGTGGCCAAATAAGGGAATAAACTTTGGAGACTAGCTTCAGAAATGTAATCTAATGGTTTTTAGCAAGTTAGGAGAATGGGGAAAAAGGGCAAGGCCTGCCACAGTCATGTTTGCCATGCTCCGGCTGGCTGCTTTCCCTTTAAAGTAGCCACAAAAGAAGAAATATAAATGGTCATAAGTAATGAAAAAATGTCCAACTATAAGATGCAAATTAAAAGTACATTGATAATCGACTTCACCACTTGAAGTTAGAAGAGTAATCATTTTTTTTAAGTGGTGGCAAGGAATCACACTAAAAGAAAACCCTTTTTGCCATTGGTGGTAATGTAAATTAGTCCAGACATTATGGAAATAAGTACAGATATTCCTTAAAAATCTGAAAATAGACCTATCATGACCCAGCTATACCACTTCTGGGTATTGACCTTGTCAACATAAAAATCTCAGCTCTCATCTAAAAAGAAATAAGAGATAGTTTGTTATGGAGTTTT